AGTCATCTATAATTTGAATCGATCTTTTTTTTTTTTTAATTGATCTAATATGTACCAGGAACTGTAACGTGTATAAAACAATTTTTTAAAAATAACTTTTTTAATGAAAAGGGAAATACGCAAGAGGAAATTAATCCCCATGTTTGTCACGTTCAATCCACTCCTTAGATTTTGGTCCAAAAAAAAAATCCACTCCTTAGATTCTATAGGATTTACCTCTATTTTGTCTAATAAAGATCCTCTATTAAATTGCCCTCCAAATTAACTAAATGGCCTAAAAAAATTACAGTTTTCATAAAGTATAAATGATATCTTTGAATACTTTAAAGTATGAGATTTATTCATAATATTAATTAGATGTGATTTTTTTATTCTCAAAATAAATTTGTTATTAAAATACAATATATCTCGTGTAACTAATCTGTAACTGATTGAATTGTGTGTTTACAATCGTTTTTTCATCACATATGAGGGAAGTCTTATATGCCAATACTTCTCTTCTCCCTCCTTCTCTATTTTTTTGGGGTATATTACGAAGTTGAGATTTGATGTCGAAGACTAAACTCCATTATCAGATTTCACATTCTACATTGCATAGTTCAATATCTAAATTGAAAATGTCCTATATTTTGTTTTCTGAAAGTTGAAAGATATTGTCTATCATCAAATTTTTATCATCTTCATTTATCTAGATAATATCTTCACTAGATCAATACATAATTTGTTCATAATCTATTGTTTGTTGTCATTGATAATAAAATTTGTTTGAATTACTAATAAAAAACACACATTATACTCTAATTGGTCGTGATTTTTTATTTTAGGTATTTAATTTCTTGTTATAAACTAAGGTGCCTAGATTTTTTTACAAATCTAGTTTGATATTATGTTGTTTTCATGTTTCTAATTTACAATAATATATTTTACATATCAATATAACTAGACAATCGGATATAAATTTATTTATCACCATTATATATGAGTGTGTATCAATAATGTAATAATGCATACCGATAACACAAAAAGCACATAATTATTTATTCAAAATAGATCAATCTGTAAAAAATTTTGTAGCTTTGTTTTCTCATCGACATGATCCATTCCGTCGATGGCTCTCGCTGTGGTAACTATGGCTTGCTCACACTTCTTTACTTTATTCCATCCTCGAGTTTGAATTACTTATTTCTTTTGTTGTGACTATAGCTCACATTTATTTTTCTTGTTCGCCTAATTTCTTATGTTTTGAACATATTATGGTATTTGCAAGAAGCAAAGTGTTATAATTTTAAAATAATAATTTTGTACATTATATATTAACTAAATATTAAAAATATTATTTTTAAAATTTAAAAAATGATAGATTATTTTTTTTATTTAGTTTCATGATATGAGCTATGCGTGCAAATGCCTTCAAATTTCTTTCTTCTTCTTCCCAACAAATCCCGCCGGTTTAGAGTTTTTGACTGGGTCAAGTGTGTAAAGTTGAATATCTTTTGAAAATAGAATTAAGTTTGAACATTTTGTAAAAAATAAACTTACGGAGATCTTTTCTCGTTAATTCAAAGTTTGATGCAGCATGAGTCTAGGAAAAGGAATTTCTTTGACTTGCTACGTAGGTTAACATTTTGTAAAAATTATAAATTTTAAAAATTTTAAAAAGGCAAGGTCCTTGGCTGCAATTGAAAAAAATTCACTTGATTTTTTTCACTACTTTTTTTTAGTGCTTGTACTTATGCTTGATTTTTTCAATACTTAGATTCAACATTTTTATTACCAATCATTTTAATATCTTTGCTACTTAATTTTTACATTTTTCAATATTCATCTTTAATATTTACAATATTGAAAAGATTAAAAATAAATGTCGGAAAACATGAAAGATAAATATTGAAAACGTCACAGATAAGTGTTGAAGTAATTTAAAAATTAATTATTGAGTGTGTTAAAAATAGGTATTGAAAAGTAAAAGACAAACATTAAGAATATCTAAATTTAGATCCCGACAAGTAATTAGGGAGCAAACTAGAGAGAGAAAGAAAACGGAAAGAAAATAACATATTTTATTTTTGTAAGATTCACAGGTAAAATTTATAATATTAAAATTTGAATCAATCCAATAAATTAAATTAGCAAATCATTGAATAATTTGTAAGAATAATAAAATTACTTGTTCATTATAATTTGACTATAATTTTATTATTAAAATTTAATGACGAGTTTCTTTTTCTAGTAGGTTGTATCCTTATCTTTTGTGACTTAGTCCAAAATTGAACTCCCAGAAAAAAGAAAAGAAAAGAAACAGAAACAGAAACAGAGAGAGAGAGGGAGACCAAAAGAAGATGCCCATGAAATGATGAGAACACAAAGCAGAGTGGGGAAATTTCCCAAAACAAACGTTAGAAAAAATAAGATAGGGAAAAGTGACGAGTAAAAGAGTCATAGAGAACGTGTGGCCTAGGGCTCTTCAACTTCACATCTTTTGAAGGTCCACTAAAAAGAAAAAGCAGATTTGGGCTAATTGGATTGGTCTCTTTTCCCATTTTGGGGTCAAAAAGAGTCTACTTTTTTTTTTTTTTTGGCTTTATCATTCTTCATCAGTTCATCTCATCACCAAAGCAAATCATTCCAGTAGACACCCAGTGGAGTTGCTAACTGCATCACTGTTGACTCTTAGATTGATTGCCTCTTTTTTGCCTTAATTTACTATTTTCTTTTTTTGTGATTGGATGTCCACTCACCTTGTCTCTCATCTAATTCAATTTAAAGGTTAATACACCCATTAACTTTCATTCTTTAACTTAAATTTTGTGTTTAAAACTTGTAATTCAATCTTACTACAAGCCTGCTTAACCATGTCTTGTTAAATATGTAAGACACACAAGACTTTAAATCACAAGGTAATTGAGCAGAATATAAGGATTTGGTGAAGTAATAGGTAAAATAATCAAAACAATTGAGAGAAAGTTAGGTGAGAGGATAAGCAAGTGGAAAAAATTTAGGCAAGGAAGGTAAGAGTGGGGTTGCTCAATAAAGCCAAAAAGAGTCTTGTCAGCTGTTAAGCAAGGGTATGAAATATACTAATAAGGATAGATCTAGATTTGCTTTAATAAGAAGGAAACATTAATGTTTGATTGTTGAACCCAGATAAATTAATAACTCTTCCTACATTCTCCGATTAATGGCGTCCTTCCCATTCTTTCAGAATTTCACTGATTTCATTTTCATCTCATTTTTGTGTCTAAATCTCTTGTACATAGCAAAACGATCTCGTTTCCTGTTAAATAAAATAAAAGTCTTATCCTTTTTAACCTTTTCTGGGTCAAATTTATCTCTATTGACTTCACTACAGCAAAATCGTCATAGACAAAAAATAAAAATAAAAATCAAAGTTAAAAAATGGTGCGCATGATATCCATGCACGTATTGACCCATAATCGTTTTACCAACAAATTCTTCAAAAACATGCATTAACGACCATGCCATGCAAGATTAACTTCTATAGAAAGGCATGAAAATAAATTTCCTGCTTCATCTCTCATAATTTACAACAGGTAGCTTCCACAAATTGCTTCTCTTTTGCATGGTTGAGAGAGGGAAAGGCTCTTGTTCACCCTGTATACACTAAAGCCTGGTTGATACATTTGAAGAGAGCAGTGGAAGTTTTTACGAGGTATCATGTGGGTGTTTGTGGTTTAAATGACTTTTTTATTGCATACGTTTGTCCTTGAATTAAAAGCAATGTTATTTAAGACATAGTCAAGTATTAAGCCTGTATACTCTTTATAAGAATTTAAATATTAATTTATTTGAAAAATCAACCCTTCTACTAGATAAAGGACCCTTTTGTTTAAATTTATAAAAAAAAATTTTTAAATAATTTAGAGATTCATTTTGTAGAGATTTTATAAAAAATAGACATCATTTTATATTGAGATACAATAACAAGCAAGTAATTATTAGTTAGTTATTTTTAAATTTTATGACATCTTTTTTGATTTTTTATGAAGATATTTTATTATTATATTATTTTAAAATTTTATAATATGTTTGTGTGTTCTTATTTTTTAAAACATTTTTTATCTACCGTATTAGATTAAAATAATTTAAAATATGTTTTTTTATTTTGATTATTTTTAAAAGGTTAAACAAACACAATAAAAACTTACAAAATAGATTTATTTTAAAAAAATAAATGATTTTTTTGTGAGATAAGCTAAAACAAACTACCCTTAACTCTAATTGATAAATTATTCTTGAATAGAGGTAGAATTATTATTATTTAATTATTCACAAGCATCATCTTATTCAAAAGTACCAAGTATAAGTACATGTCTCACAGGGTGTCATGTAGATGTTGATTATTTTTATTATTTTTTGGTGTCTGGGTCGGGATCTCTAAATTAAATCCTTAATGATTTACCATGAAGATTAAATTTGTTGGTTGTTTATTATTATTTTTTTGATAACAATCACGCGGATGTTTATCGTTTAAATGATTTTTGAATACAGGTAGAAGTGGAATTGATTTATCCAAGTCCTCGGTATGTTTGGTCTGGCATTCTATGCCCTTTCAAACCCATTTAGAAGCCCAAAACAATGGTTATCTCAAAAGTCAAAATTCACCCAAAAGCCCCAAATTTTCAAAAATCCTGTCTTGAGCCCTAAACTGGGTTAAGCTTAAGCGCAAAGCCTTCAAATATTATATATCAATAATATCTCTTATTACTGTTTAGCTGATAAAATTAAGAAATCAGATTATACATATAATCTTGATGAGTTTGAATATCGTTTTCAAATCTTGGCAAAAAAAAAAAAAATCTCTTTCAAATCGATGATCTTGTTCACACTAAATTAGTTAAAATTAATAATAATAATACTAATTAGTTATACTATAATTTAAGAAAAATTAAAATAAAATATCTATCATATAAAATCTGAAATAAAAAATATATATCAATCCTGAAAGTATTAAATTTAAACGCTATTTCCCCTAACCAAACCCTTGGCCGCCTAATGTATATGTAGATTATGGAAACGTCCGCTGAGAGTTGATCGGAAATAGAAAGAAAGAAAGAAAGTTGCTCTGAGAACTTCGGATCAATAGTTCAATGGGCACCAAAGTTCTCCTGTCACAAGCCGGTTGTCCTCAACATCGCTTTGGCCGTGAATCCCCCGCACCAACCATATCACCAAAAAGCTCTCACCTAAACTGTGGCCGGCGAATGCGAAGTCCCATCGCCAATCAGGCCAATCAACATGATCGATATCATAGTCGCCTCTGCGATCAATCTCCGGGCCCGAACTTGGTTATGGGTCAGGTCAAAATCCTCAAGCGAGGCGAGAAGTTGAGTTTTGATAGTGGCTGCTCAGCGTTAGCTGCTTCCGGTGAGAACCATAACGCAGGGGCCAAGAGCGAGGAAGATCTCGATTTGGTGATAGAATCGACGGATCGGCTGGGTCGGGACCCGAAGATGGCGCAGAACCATTCGAAGGTTGGCGTCTTTGCTGGATTTGCTTTTGATGGTTCTCCGTCTCCAGGATCGGTTCCGATCCCACGGTTTCTGGGGAAGAAGCTACGATGGTGACTTGATGTTTGTTTGTTCGCATGGTCTCAACAAGCTTCCTTCCCTGTCGCATGTCTCAACAAGTTTCCTTTCCCTGTATTTTTTTCAACAGAGGATAAGGATGGCTGTTGAGTGTCAACAAGTAATCAACTTGTATATTAAATTTCAGGAGATTGAGAGACTTGATCTCTCTGTAAATTTCTTTAGTTTTACGGTACAATGTGTGAGTGGGTGGAAGCTTATAGGCTTTTAGGTTCATAGGAAAGAAGTTTGATTAGCGGTCTTTAGATTACTTATAGGAGTTCGTTTGTTGGATCTCATTATCTTTGGAGTTCATTTGTTGGATCTCATTCTCTTCGGTGTGTGCATTGTGCTGGTACCATGTCTATCTATTATCCTTGATGCAACAGAAGAATTGGTTACTTAGCTTTTATTTTATGTTATTTGTACCTTATCACTTGTTGTGTTTTACTTGGGAGTTGGGACTGATCTGATTTTGTGGGTGTAATTTTTTTCCCCTGAAACAGTGGGTGCAAATTCATAGCTCTAATGGAAAAATGATGATAATGATTTCTTTCTTCTTTCTGATCAGTGCGTTGGTGGTTGGTGCACGTTGTAATAGTTTTTCTGAGTAAACTCAATGTGTTGTTCCCTGCACATGAAAATAGAGAGAACTTGTATTTGAAATCTATAGAATGTTACAAATCTCAGTGACTAAACCTTTCCTTTGTAGCATACTCAAGCTGCATCAGAGGACTCCATGGAAGTTTTTATGTTACCATCCTGGGAATAAACTTCTGGGTCTCTGGGCAGAATCTTTTTCCAGAACCAGTGTCTTCTCCACATGAGTGTCATCTCTTCAATGGGGATTCCCTTGGTTTCAGGTAAGAAGAGGAAAACAAACATGGTCATTACTGTAATCCACCCAGCAAAGAAGAGGAAGATTCCAAACTTGAAAGCACAGAGGAGGGAAAGGAAGGCTTGAGCAACTATGAATGTGAAGAGAAGGTTGACAGCAACTGTGATGCTCTGGCCTGCTGATCGGATCTCTAATGGAAATATCTCACTTGGGACTGTCCAGCCAAGTGGGCCCCATGACCATCCAAAAGCTAACACAAATAGACAGATCACTGCTACAACCAATATTGAATGGCTTTTGGACAGATGTTGGTAATCTCCAAACTTGATCCCCAGGATTGTGGCCACAATTATCTGTTCATGGGAAACATGAGAGTCAATTGCATTGCAGATTTGTGGGATTCTTCTTGTGCAGCTTGTCAAACTGTTCCTAGAGTCTTGGCTTCTGCAGATTTGGATTTGGATTCCCCACCCCCCCCCCCCCCGGCCCCAAACAAAGCAAGGAATGTTAAGATTAAGAAGAACCTATCGATTTGGAACTAGATATGAATCTGTATCGGATTTGCCTACAAACTATCTCGCTCCAGTCTGTCACATTTGGCTTGTTTTGGGCCTTAGCCCAATCAAGAAAGGTTAAACCTAGGCCGAATTGCAGAATAAAGTAAAAATATTAAAGTCTGGCCCCCAAACAAAAAAAACTTAAAGAACAATTTAGTCATTCGTTTATTGGGGGAAAAATAATAATAGCCATTGTTTTTAAAACCGAATCGGACCGGCCGGTCCGATCGGTGAACCGGTGACCCGACCATGTGTCCGGTCCGGTTTTCTTTTTATTGTGTTTTAAGTTAACCCGGGATTAACTCGGATTAACCCGCCCAACGCCTCGGTTCAGGCGGGTTGGGCGGGTTGAAATTTAAAAAAAAAAAATGATAATGATTAACCAAGATGTATATTTATTTTTGATATGATAATGATTAATGATAGGTCAATAAGAGTCATAGGGTAAAAAAAAAATACTTATGTCAGATGAGGGGATGAAAGAAGCAAAAAGAAATCAAAAAGTATAAATATATATTATATTATATTATTTTTTAATTTGAATTATTTAAGTAAATAATTTTTAAAATATATCACTTTCATTTATTATCTTTTATTTTAAAATAAATTTTTATTTCTATTATTTTAACTCATTGAAATTTTTTTATCATTTAGTTAACCTTATTTTAAAAAAATATAGAAATGTTGTTATACTTTATTATTGTTAGAATTATTATTATATGTTATATGAGATATTAAGACTTGGATATGTATGAACGTATTGAGAATTAATACATTTTTTATTTAAATTATATTATTTTATTATGACTGGTCTAACTCCAATTTGACCCCCGGTTGAACCATGACTCCTGACCCCTGAGTTTGGCCGGTTCAATGATCGATCCGGTTTTCAGTACCTTGATAATAGCTGAGTTTTGTTTCTAAGACTCGGATGTTGAGTCAGACTTATTAAAAAATATTGGAAAAAGAAATAAATGCTAAAGAAACATGTTTAGAAGGAAACAAAAAAAAATTATGTTATTTGAAGCATTAAGAGGAAACATGCTGAACGTACTGGACTCAATTTTCTACTTTTTTTTTTGTTTTGGTGGTGACATCAAAATTTTTAAATCTTGACTGATACAAAATTATGTAATTCAATGATAATATTGATTTTATCATTATACTAATGAAATGCATTTGAAAAACAGTCAATAATTTAAATTTTAAACACAAATATTTAAGTAAAAAATAAAATTAATATTTAAAAAATTTAAAATAAAAAATTATTAATTATTATATGAGTCCGGCTCATTTTAGGTTTTTAAAAATCTTGCTATTCTTCCCATGAATTGCATAGAACTTACAAAGCAGTTACAATGATGCATGGGACGATAATTTATTTAATTGTAAACATTAATAAAAAAAACATTGCATGATCAATTCACCGGTACCTGACACGTAATCATTTGGACCCCACCGCTGACAAGCAAAGGTCTCCTTCCCAATCTATCAACCGTTGCAATGGAAATGAACGTAGAGAGAGCAAGAACTCCTCCGGTGGTCGCCGACGAGTACAGAGACGCATCTCCACCGAACCCCATACTCTGAAACAACACCGGGGCATAGAACAGAATCGTATTAATACCCGTCAGAATCTGAAACGCCGGCATGAAGATCGCCATCACCAGCTCTGGCCTGTACTTCCTTTGCAGTATGTTTCGATAAGGGTGCTTCACTGACCCTGCAAACTCGCTCGCTTCGATCATGTCTTGAAACTCTGCTTCAACATCTTTAGTCCCCCTGATTTTTTCCAGAAGCTTCCTTCCCTTTTCCGTCGATCCTCGTTCTATTAAGCTGTTTGGTGTATCAGGAAGGAATATCCCTCCTACTGTCATCAAAAGAGCCGGCACTGCAGCTAACCCTAGAGAAAGCCTCCATCCCCATGGCGTTATCTTCTGCGTCCCATAATTTACCATGTTTGCTGTAAAAATCCCAAAAGTTGTAGCCACCTGAAACATCATGTTCAGGCCTCCTCGCAGGTGGGTCGGCGCCATCTCCGACAAATACAGAGGAATGGCCTTCAAAAAAGAAAAATGTTAAGGGTGAGTGGACTTGGTTTGATGCGAGAGGTCTCATGAGGAAGACGAAGATGAGTGAACCTGATTCCCAAATCCAATGCCAACACCGAGCATGATTCGACCCAAGAGGAGCATTGCGAGATTGACAGCTGAGGCATTGAGAGCTGATCCAATGAGGAAGCTGATACCACCGACGATTATACTTGCTCTCCGTCCGTACTTTCTGGTGACCGGAGAAGCCATGAGAGATGCAACTAAACCAGCAAGGTAGAGAGAAGAGGTGAATGCTGCAAGGCCTTGATTGTTGTACTTGCAGTAATTGCTCTCTTGTGCATGACTTTTGTGTCTGTACACAGCGGGAAAGAAGTCCTCAAGAAAATCATCCATGGAAGTAACCCCACCTGAGTCAATCAGATATTAACAGAAGAAACACAAACTCTGAATCAGATACATTGAAGTGAATGAAATTTGAGAATCGGACCTGAGATTCCAATATCGTAGCCGAAGAGAGAGCCACCAGTGGCGGCAACAATACAAGAAATGACCACATAAGCTGTGACTCTGCCTTTGTATTGATTTGCTCTCTCATTGGCCATACCACCAACTCTGGCAAAAGACCCTCCGGCCATATGCACAAATTCTCTTCTTCTCAGTTCTCAGAGACAGACCAACTCTCAAGGGGAAAGCTTTTCTGTTTGGAAAAGGAGAAGGAGACAAGCATCTTAAGTTGTCTTATTTAATGTTAGTTTCAGGAAGCTGTAGGCCAAGTAGAAAGTCAAACTATGACTTGCGTTCAACTTGCGTTACCATATTGATATTATTATTACTAATTTATTAGATCAGGCGAAGACTTATATAATTTTCTATATTTAATATAGTTTTGTCCAAATCAAATTAGAATAAGTGAATTTTAAAGTGTTAGAAATATTAATAAGGGAGAATCATATTTAAAGATTTGACAAGAAATTTATTTACAAATAAAATTTAATAATAAGTTCCATTCAAGAAAAAAAAATTATGTTCTTATTTTAATAACAATCAATTTTATATTATTTTTATTTGTGAATAAGTTTCTTGTTAGATCATTAAATGTGATTCTCCTATTAATAATAAGAATTTGTAATAAAATAGATAATGTATCAAAAATTTACATGCCCTTCATTTAATTGGAGACAAACCTCTTAAATATATACAATTAAGTATATTAGCATTTCCCAATTAGTTATTACACTGGGATAGGGACATAGGGCAAATCCTCTCTAAAAAAAATAAATTTTTATTTGAATGGTATACGGAGGTATGCATATTAAATTTTCAATTTTTAAGATATTTATAATGTTAATTTTCTTCAATTTTTTTTTTTCCCAACTTGACTCGAGGAATCTGATCTGCCGTGAGGAATATAAAGTAAAGCTAAGGATTGTGTTCGTATTTGAGAAGTAAATGGTATTTTAAAATTTTGTTATATCAAATATATTGATGTACGTTGATTCTTTTTATTTTTTAACCAGGATTTGATTCTTTTTATTTGGAATCTACTTATCTGCAAAATTTGGAGTCAGTCGTCTTTCTATGTTGTTCGATACGTGGATGATAATTGATATAACCGAAGTTGTGTTATCGAAATTAAATCATGTTATTCACTTATTTAGTAAGTTTTTCTTTAATTTACATGATCTGCCTCTAGATACAAGATTAATTTGATTTAGTTTTGTTGTATTTAACATGGCTTAAGTCATTAAGAAAATAAATTACATTTTATCCATTATCAAATAAAAACCAATTATCAGGTTAGTATTTTATTTTATAACTTTGTTCAAATTTTAATTTAGTAAAATTAATAATTTGAAAATTAATCATTAACTGCAAACCTTTTAAACTTTAAAGATAAGTCGTAGCACTCATAACTTGTGAATTTATATCTTATTATAAATTACACTCCCTCTATACTTGCACATAAAATGTTTTTAATCGAATCACACAAACTAATAAAAGTTGATTATCTAAGTAAAGGCACAACAACATTTTAATTTTGTCCCTATTTATTATAATAAAAAATGAATATCTTTTTTCAAAGTATATCATTGAGAGTACTTTTTTTCTCTTTCCAATTTAATAAAGGTATAATGGCTCATTCATTAAAAAAATGCTAATAACTCCTTATATTTAAGGATAAAAAAAAATTCTAAAAGACTTTTTATATATAGGGACAGAGGGAGTATATATACATATATATTTTGAATATATTGATGATAATCTCAAATTATATCAAATAAAAAATAAAATTATAAAACAAAGAATCATTCACTAGGTCTCACATCCACGTGGTGGGGAGGTGCTAAATAAAGAGGCTGTCGCAAGCAGCAATAAGTTGTCAATGTTAATTAAGATATGATTTAAAAGAGTTTGAAACTTTGGTTCTTGTGGGACCAAATAAAGAAGATAAGTTAGACATGAGACTTAGAGAGAAAAGAAAAGATCAGAAGTCAGGTATGATTATGAAAATGAAGAAACTTCCCCTTTGTGAGGAGATAGTGTTGGTGCAATTTCAGCCAGTGAATAAAATCCCAAGAAAGTTGCATTAACTGTGAGCAACACATGATGTTTACATTCCAAATGACAATACAAAGACCATAACAAATATACCTCACCTCTTACGTAAGCCCAACTCTAAATACAAAGAATCCTTAGGAGGATGCAACATGACAGTTACAAGCTTAGAATATGATTAAATACAGTGACCTCTATACAAGTTGGTACAAATTTTTCCCACCCTGCTAATGTGAGCATTTATAATTTGAAAAGGGAAACTTGTTCTTCCCTCTTTTTTAATCATTGCGTTCTCTTTCTGTCTTCTTGCACTCAGTTATAATCTGCAGATGGCATCACCGGCAAGGTTTACTGCAAGCTCTGATAAGACTCTTCCCTAAAACTAATCAGCAAAATATCATCATTTGTCCTGACAAATCTGGTGGAATTAAATGGAAAGGTAGGAGCTATGATGTCTTGTCTTCTACTTATCCAAATTGTCCATATGATTTCAGTCCGCTCAAAGAATGCCACTCAAGAAGCCCCTGAGAAAGAGATAGGCTATGTCAATAGAGGAGAAGAATGGCTTTACATAAAATACCATATATTAAAAGAGACCGGGATAAAAAGTTACTAACCAGATCCCTGAGGCTTTCCTAGTTTCACTCCTGCAAGAGGTTCAGTAAACTATTCAATGGAATGGTTTTGTTTTGTTTTGTTTTGCTTTTTAATAACTTAAATTTCAAGGAAGAAAGTCAAGATAACGATATCAGAACCTGTAGCAAATGAGGATTAGACATAAGCAATGTTACCTTGGTTTTCCTTGGAAAGCGTCATTAATTTCATCAATAGTAGGCCTTTTTGGAAATGTTGACAAGAGAACATATTTCTCTTTTCCAAATGATTCATCCACCCTCTTGTAAAGCTCGTAAGGGAATGGATAAGACATCCTAAATCAAAATAAGAAGCGCACTTACAAGGCTGCAATTGGTGACTTTGAGATTTGGCACAAAAGTCTTTCCTTTTGTGCATGTCAAACAACTAAATGACTTATAGATATAGAATGAAAGTAGCTCATGGTAAACCTTTTCATCATTATAACTCAAATTCTGGAGTGCAAGTCTCCTCTTCCAGAGAAGAAATGGAATACATTAATTTTTGCCATAATAAGACGAAGCTATAATTTCTGGTTTGTTTATATAAAATCTTAAAAAGTATTTTGTATAATTTCTTCTAAATTTTTCTAATTTTACAAAGACAGCGAAGAAGTTATGTTTCCGGGATCCCATCACATGAAGCAAGTCAAGTGGTGGTTGGTCGAATTATTTCTTCTTTTCTCAATCCCTTAAAAGAAAAAATCTCAAAGATTTCCATCTAACCTGATAGCTCCCATTATGGGATACTGAGTTCCTGCATAATAGAGAAGCCGGAAAAAGTAGCAACTTTCAAATGATGCTGCATACTCAAGTCTCTGCTCCCGTCCCATTGTCTGAGTGTGAGAAGGCAAAGTTTGAATTTTGTCTAAAAAAGTTATCTAAAAAAATGCTTGTTTTAAACTTTCTGGTTCAGCACTTACTTGCATAATGCCACTGGAACCCGGCAAATCCTGATTGCAAAGAAATCCAGAAAAGTTTCAGTTTTGCAAATTTTCAGAAAGAATTAAAATGGGGTTGCAGGTAGCAGCATAAAACCCAGATAATTACTGGTGAGAGTCTACGAAACAGATATTTCACGCTTGCACAGCATGAGGCTTCCATATTATATGTGGTTAGGACAACCATCCACTTTATGAATTCAAGACTTGGCACCAGGTTTACAAATATCACATTAACTTTATCCAAAACAGTTACAAATCAAGACTTTCTTAGGAATTTGCAATTACACAACACAACTATCCCAGGAAAGAAATTGCAGTAAGGAACTGAACCTTAAGCCTAGCATTGATTAGGATAACTGGCCTGTGTTTAGCAGCATTGGTCATCGCTCTTAGATCCTGTATATTCAACCCCCAAAATATTAAAAAATTGAAAAAGAAGTTGAAATGAAGCAGAAAGAAATAAGCTTTTTCTTAATTAAATAAATGCACAGTAAATGCAGTCTCCAGAACATGTTTGTAAGAATTCCATTCTATAGGTCATTACCTCAATAATACAATTCCCCACAGCATTTTGAGGAGCCACCAAGATATACATGTCATCTTGCTCGTCAACCTCTGCAGCACCTGAGATTGAAAGCTCAAAAGTTACTGTTATACAGTACTTTGGGGAAAACTAGATCATGCGTAACAAAAGGCAAAATCCATATCTATGATTCCAGCATGAAATTGACCTGCAACACCACTTCTAGCTGTGTAGTGCTTAGTTGCAGGTATATGCTTCATTTTTTCCCCCCATTTATAATACAAACACATAAAGATAGCTGTCTGCAGTTCATTTGTGATTGTGCCAGAGACAGACAATAATATAATTATAATGGTGATATGTCAAAATTCCTGAGTTAAAAATAGGCATGTGAATAACAATGCAAACAAATGGAAGGAAGCAAAGTTTTGTCAGATGTTAAGATGGAATCTAGATCACCACAATAAATAAAAATTTCTACTCATCCTTTTACCTATGGAACCAATGTTTATGAAGGTCCCTTTTGCACCATAATCGCCCCAGTCCATAAACTCTAAGATCTTGCGGGTTCCAGCAAGCTGCAGTGGCATTCCAGCAAGAGCACCTTCTCCCATTGATCCTTGTACACAAACCTGCAAGAAAATATCAAAGATAGCTTTATGTTTATGCAATAAGAACTCTTTATTCTAATGATAGATATCCAGTTATTCTCCAAATGACAAAAATAGTTCATATTAGAAGTATTTTGGCACCTTAACACGTTTCCCATCATCAGCAAATGAAAGGGCAAGAGTTCGAACAAGTTCCATCAAAGTACCAATTCGATAAACATCCTGCACATGGAAAACGCTGTCAAGTGAAGAAAAGCTTGGGAAAAAGAAAGAGGAAAAATAATTCCATACCATTTCTGGGTTCAGCTCAGGAATGTTGATGTCCACCTGGTTGGTTTGGCATGACAAATCAGGTACATATTAGCTTTGTGCTCAGAGCTTTAGACATAATATCAGTTGGGTTAAACAATATACAAAGAGACCCTTTTTCTTGTTATCTACCCATGCTACACTTAACCTACTAGTCAGCTATGCTAATACTCCCTCAGAGAAAAAAGAAGTTGAGTGGAAAAAGAATCTTCATAATTAAATTTTAACTTTTACGAGTCTGACATTATTCATATGATTCAGGGACCATAAATGCAATGGTCAAAGGTAACGCATGGATTTAGACTTATGGAAATGATATGATGAAGCTTTAACATGGCTATAGATCACATATAAAGCTGATAATTACACCAAACCTTCAACCGAGATTTTCCATCTTTTACAGCCTTCTCTGTAGCTTGCAGTACATCATCATAGAAATATTTCCTGATCTCTCTGGAATGGGGAATGTTATTCAGTCTAGTAGGAATTCCTCTCCATTTATCCTGTAAAAAGCTAAAGGAAATAAGAAAACATAGAGGAAAGACAGTATCATATAAATATTGGAGGAGAATATGCAACAAAAGGACAGAAGAGAAGAACCATTTACAATGTATAAAATCTACCTGGCTTAACGATTCCTTCCCCTTCTTTATATCAAGTATGGGCTTTTCTGATACATAGAAATCAATTAACAAATTAATTAATTAAAAATCTTAAAAAGCTTAAATGCATTTCTTCTACAGCACATCAACACCAAATATTTGAAGCCCCAAAATGCAATTGGCATTCAGCATTTCCTTAAGAAGTTGGTTTGATGGTGAAGCACTTGGGTGTTCTAACTAAACCAAACAGAAGTAAATAATTAAGGAAAGTAGAGGTTGCTATATACTAATTAGCATGTCAAGACTGCCAATCTATAGGCTGCCCACTCATAGATAGGTTGATGAGTAATATAGCTTCAAAACAAAAATAAAAATTTCTTGTAAAACATATGTCATGTATGCGATATGCAACCAAAAAATATCCATACCTGGTTTTGTTGTTTTCACCTTGTCATTTTGCACTTGAGATAACAGAGAGTCAATTTCTTTAAAAACTACCTCTTTTGAGCGATTTCCATCTACCTGCATGTCAGCCAAAATTAGTTTACTAAACAAATGTCCTACTGGTTCACAAAAGATACACAAATCAATACAAGGACCTTATTTGTTATGCTTGAGTAGGAGGAAGAAACAGCCTCTGCATTTTGCTTATATATTTCTAGTCGCGACTTAACCTGGAAAGAATCAAATATATTTATACAAGCACTTCAGACAGATTACTTAATTGTTGGATCATCATGAATCTGGCATCAAGTACTATAGTAACAACAGACATGCACAAATTGCACACGTGAAAAAAAAATAAAGGCAAGGACAAAGTGATCTAATACATACTAATATGTTTAAAGAATGACATTGCAGGGTAATGAACACAAGTGAATGTAATTAAGAGTACTCCTACGTGAACTGATCCTTTAGAACTCCTCAATGTTATAAAGTTAAAAATAAGCATAAATTACATAAATTTCTCCTCAATTTTGCTCAAATTATCTGTCTCCTGTCTATTTTTGAAATCATGTGATTTACTCTAAAAATAATTCACCCACTTCTATAACTAAATCACATAGCTATGGGCATTTTCCCCATCGCATCTTGAATCACCTGAGATCTTTCAGAGTTGATAGATATAAAGAGAGCATGCACACATTCTTATCTTCCTGATTCCACAAATCCTCACAATATGTCTAGAAAGCTATCCAAAATATAAACCAATAGAAGAGGATAGCCCTAGCCCCTGATCATATGCTCAGTTGCTTACAAAGAGGGTTACAAGAATTGATATATCTGTATCATACTTTTTCTTGTGTGTCATCAGGACGAGTGATTAGCCTTGATTTGATTTCTTCCGTTTCTGGTGGGAAATTTGTTATATGATAAATCTTTCCTGTCACTGGATCTAGCCTTCTCCCAACACATCTGTCGATCAGAATTTCATCAGGAACCTGAGTATTAGAAAACTTATTGACTCAGCAAGGAAGATAAACCTACTTCTATTAATTAACATCTATATGAAAATGTAACTCTGGGAAATCAAAGCCCTAGCGATATGTTAACAGACTCAACGCTGCAATGCCACCAACCTTCTACGTGTAATGTGAAAAATGCAGCAATATAATATTTTGCTTTGTAAAGCTACATTGATCTCGAGGATGCATTGGAAGTTAATATTAGCAAATAGCAAGAAAAGCCTAAAATTTTGAAGTAGAAATAGAAGAGTTCGCTACATTGCAGAAAATATATGAAAAATCCCACATTTTACGGAAGAATTTTTGCAAGGATGAAGAGCTAGGGAATCTAACATCAGAAAACAATCCATCAAAAGTGAAAGCAGGACTAGATTGTTCACATACATCTAATACAATATATATATCTGGCCTAATCTTCTTTTGTTCCAGAGCCTCTGCTTGGGCAAAACTCCGAGGGTACCCATCAAGAAGCCACCCTTTTTGTTTTGCATCTTCACGAGATAATCGTGCTGTCACCATCTACAAAAATCAAAGCAAGCACTTCAGTGTGTGAAAATCAAGTAGTAAGGAACTTCTAAGCAAGCAATTCGAGTATTACAGCAGTCACGATTTCATCTGGAACCAAGCGACCAGCATTCATGTACTCCTTTGCTTTGTTTCCAATTTCTGATCCAGCTGCTACTTCAGCCCTTAACAGATCCCCAGTCGATATGTGAACCAATCCAAACTAAAGAACCGATTAAAACAATCAATTCAATTGCACAAGTTTTTCATAGCTATTGCACGCCGTCATGCATATAGCTTACAAACGAACATCGTTACATCACTCCCCAAAATCTTTTTTAAACAAAAAAATAACGTGCAGAGAGTACCTTCTGGACAATCAATTCACATTGAGTTCCCTTGCCCGATGCAGGCGCACCTAATATCATGACCTTCAATGGTTCGTTTATCGAACAATTCACTTTTAGACCCTTCTTGGAATAAAAAAAGAAGAAGAAGAAGAAGAGGAGCAGAAGCAACGATCAAAAAACGTGACAATGAATCTATGATTGCATGTCAGTACAGGAATCATAGAGTATAACCAGTATTACTCAATAGGGGGAAAATAATAACCTTGGATTTTGGATTTATTCTGAAATGGGTAACGCGGAAGAGGCTGGGCGAACGTAGAGGTTGAGCCTTGAGGGAGAGCCGTGGGAGAGAAAGACATGGATGGTGGGAAGAAGACAAGGCAGAAGAGGTGGGAGAGAGTAAAGACAAGGAGGGAGATGAGGTGACAGCAGAGGAATGTAATGAAGAGAGCGAGGTGGGTGACATTGTCGCTGAGAGAGAGAGAGAGAGGCTCAGAGCAGAGCAAAAGAGAAGGAAGGTCGAAGGAGGAGGCCTTCGGGTGGCTCCCAGTCACTCACTCTGTGACGATAAACAAAAGCCACTAAATTTCATTCCGTCCATGCAACCACGAAACCATATAAATAAATAAATAAATATATATATATATATATATATAGAGACACACGCACGTTGGAAAAAAGATCATAGTTATAAAGAATTCATTATATATAGTTATGAAGAATTTCTTGTTGAAGGCCACATAATTCGTTCAAATGAAATGTATAGCTGAGAAAATTATAACTGATATATATATATATATATATACAAGGGATGCTCCAAAATGTTCGTTAAAGCATAATAATAACACTTGTTTAGTTTTAACTACAGAACTTCTGTACTTCTGTAGAATATATATCCCTAAAACTTATATATATTCTACACAGTACAGAAAATGACATTAATTCAATCCAAGAGCACATAAGTATAGAAAATTACAACACTTGATCGTATTTAACTTCAGAAGTACATATATTCTAAATGAAGCTCTGAAAAATTAGACTAAAACCATTAATTCAATCAAAAAGAGATCACAAAAGATCTAACTTCGCATTATAATTGAACCAAAAAAGTCTAAATTAACTCCTACTTGACATACATAGTCATATTTAAAAAAGTCTAAATTTTCAATAGAGCTAGCTATATATTTAAAAATGTAAAGTCTAAAGTTTCAAAAGAACTAGCTACTTATTATAAAAAAATTCAGGCTCGTAGCTTGATGGAATCTGTTTGTTTGTTTCCTTTGGTTTTAAGGTTGACTGCTTGCTGTAGGTGCTGTAGGGGCTTGTTTTTCTGCCTTTGTCGTGGAGGTTGCTTGCTTGACGAAGGTTGTTTTGATGGTTGCTTGCAAGCTCTTCGGTTGTAATCATAATTCCCACAAGCTTGACATCAAAGGCTTGTGTTTTGTCTCTTCATTTTGTGTGGATGAGGTGGCTCATCTTTTCCCTTCTTCCATTGCTTTTTAAGAAAATTTCAAAAAGAAATGTCTCAAGCCCGCTAGAGACAAAACTTCTAAAGCATCAACAAGCCAAGCCAACAGCAAAACAAAAGACAAGAAAGGGAGTGGACAAAAAGTTTCATATGCAAGTCAACCTGTGTCATTTGTATCAAGTGGTGTTATAAATTCAGAAACCGTGCAGATTACAGCTGCAGATTTTGCAGAGACTGACAGCTCTAAGAAGGTCATTACTAACTCTGCTAATATAGGTTCATTTGAAGTGCACACCACTGGTTTTGGATCGAGAATGATGGCTAAAATGGGATACTTGGAAGGAGGAGGTTTGGGGAAACATGGTCAAGGTGTAGCAGAACCCATTAAGGTTAACCAACGACCCAAATCGCTAGGTCTAGGAGTGGAATTCTCCGGCAACCCTACTGAGCCAGCAAGGAACAAGGCTTCAACTTCAAGCATTGGCGCTTTTGAAAAGCATACCAAGGGCTTTGGATCAAAGATGATGGCTAAGATGGGTTTTGTTGAAGGCATGGGATTAGGCAAAGAATCACAAGGTATCACTACCCCCTTGGCTGCTGTCAGGCGTCCTTAGTCCCAAGGACTAGAGGCCAAAGGCAAGCAGTTTTGCAATGCCATTGTTTGTTTTTGTTGGTTAAGATGCTACCTTTGGGAATTAAATAATGGAGTCAACTCTTATTCCATATCTATTTACAGTTATGCACTAGATACAATTATGCCATTCATGGTTCTTCTTTGTTTCTTTTTCTCTCTTTTTGGTTAAAATCATAAGAGACATACAATAATGCTCAGCCCACTGGTTATCTGTAGTTGGTAAAGAGAAAGTACATCATTTCCATTGAAAACCAAGTAGTCAGATTAAAGCGCATTCTTTCATTTTTGTGTATAATATTGTAATTACAGGACATTATTGTAAGAATAATATGGTGGCTATTTTTTATCAAAAGAGAAAATTAAAAAAAAAGGCTTGTTTGATTTTGCTTTATTTTTTATTTTTTAAAATCATTTTGTAAAGTAATATTCTAAAATTGTTGCCAAAACAAAATAAAATGAAAATTTGTTTGATTATATTAATTTTAAGACCATTTTAGAGTTAAAAAATAACTAACAATGGTGATCGCTAAAGATTAATGGCGGTAACCTTCAATAGCGATTAATCATAATTGAAAACAATTTACAAAAGTCAAATGTTGTGTACTTTACTAAAAAATAAAAATAAAAACAGCTCTAAAATATTTTCATTTTAAAAATAGTTTTAAAAATATTTAATACCAAAATACTAACCTTAATATAAGAATTCTTGACACACAATATAAAGGGCAGAAGTATAAAGAACATACTTGATGCTTAGTGGTCATTTGCTTGAATGGAATTGGATTAAATTTGCGACGGCCTAACCCCGTATTTATAGCTCTAATATAGAGAATGGAGGAAGAAGGCTTAGAGAAAAATGGAAGGGATGAAAATAGATGAAGAGTTGAGAGAAAAATGAAAGAGATGCAGATAGATGAAGATGAATAGTGAAAAACGTATGTGAGGAGGCTTCAATCTAAAATTTTGTGGCTGCCTCTCCTTCAACTAGGACCCCTTTAGAAAATAAAAATACTAAAGAATTTAACCATAATATTTAATTTAATTTGATCATCTTCACAGACAGCTTGAGGGAAAAGGAAATTTAACATTCATAAATCAGGATCAACAGCAAATAGCATCATCAATATTTTAATATTCAGTATTTAATTTCATACATACAAAATAAAAACTATAACAAACTGCATTATTCAGAGGAGCACGTAGAAATGAAGCACAATTACAAGACGTGATAACTATGTTATCATTTCTTAAACAAGAAATTAAAAAAATGAGAGAAATTGAATATAATGATTCCAAATGTGATGATCATGACAAAATAAGCTAAAGGTAGACCTAACGAGTTATATCTAGTGCATAATTGTAAATAGATCTAGAATAAGAGTTGGCTCCATCATTTAATTTGGCATTGCAAATCTACTTGCCTTTGGCCCCCAGTCCTTGGGACTTAGGACGCCTGACAGCAGCCAATGGGGTAGTGATACCTTGTGATTCTTTGCCTAATCCCATGCCTTCAACAAAACCCATCTTAGCCATCATCTTTGATCCAAAGCCCTTGGTATGCTTTTCAAAAGCGCCAATGCTTGAGGTTGAAGCCTTGTTCCTTGCTGGCTCAGCAGGGTTGCCGGAGAATTCCACTCCTAGACCTAGCGATTTGGGTCGTTGGATAACCTTAATGGGTTCTGCTACACCTTGACCATGTTTCCCCAAACCTCCTCCTTCCAAGTATCCCATTTTAGCCATCATTCTCGATCCAAAACCAGTGGTGTGCACCTCAAATGAACCTATATTAGCAGAGTTAGTAATGGCCTTTTTAGAGTTGTCAGTCTCTTCAGAATCTGCAGCTGTAATCTGCACGGTTTCTGAATTTATAACACCACTTGATACAAATGACACAGGTTGACTTGCGTATGAAACTTTTCGTCCACTCCTTTTATTGTCTTTCATTTTGCTGTTGGCTTGGCTGGCTGGATGCTTTGAAGTCAACTCCAGCGGGCTTGAGACATTTCTCTTCGAACTTCTCTTTCCCACTTTTCTATTTCCACTCACTGACTTTTCATTCATAAAGTCAATCACAGAGAAGTCCGCATCCTCTTCATCAGCTCCTATCAACTGAAGTTAATAAGAAAATCAGCATTAGCTATAACTATAAATATCTCCATATATAAATATATAGTTGTCCAAAAAGCTCAAGTTCTTCAAGGTGTCTAATGAACACCAAAACTTCAATTGGGGGTTCCTGAGTATAATATAATCTGATTGAGCTGGAAGAATGATAGGAAATAAAAAGTAGTAGCTGGGTCATTTTCTTTCCATTTTGTTTAGTTCTATGTATGAAAGATGGATGAAAACACAAGAAACACAAATGCAACATATGACTGACTGAATATCGAGACACAATTAGTAATGATACAGAACCTTTTCCAACCGTTGTCTACCACTAGAAGATGGCATGGATGTGGACTCTGTTCGCATTACTGTCACAAATCTGAAACCACATATTCCAAACTAGATTTGTTACATTTCACAAAAACTAAATTACCTTACATAAGAATATGGGAGGATTATCACCTCTTTTTCCCAGAACCTTGGCAGCTACTAAGCAAGCTATAAATCACAGCTAAGCGTTGCACCTAATGTCAATCATTTAGAGCAGAGACCAATACTCTTAGACCAAGATACATCAAGCGAAATAGGGAACAAAAATTACATCGTAAGAGGTATAACAACCTCTTTATTGATTAGCAGGGGTGAAAAAGACCCTGCTCAGGCACATATCAACATGCACCCATCCATCTCACATACATATGGACTCACGCACGTAGGATGTATCCACATCTATAGCCCCTATCTCTAGTACTTTAAAGATCCTAAAAAGTGTCTTTTTTTGTGGTAAGATCTGTTGTTTGCAAAGAAGAATCTTCTATGAGTTAAGGAAAAATTATCAAGTAAGGAGATTTAATTTGGACTACAGATCCATACCATTAACTTGCACAGAAAATTATTCATGCAATTCAGATTATAGTAAACTTAAACTGACCGTTGCAGAACATAATAGACAGCTAATAGTGAATGTAGCGTAAGTAAACACTCATAGAAAAAGAAAAAATACCTGTGAACAATCCCGAGAATGCATAGGCTCAAAAGAAAACATATCTACTTCCTCCGCAACTATTTCTTCTAGTTTCTACAGAGAATAGAAATGTTAAATTAACAATCAAATTCCAGAAATAGTCTGAATGTAACACAATAACTAACCCATTATTTTTTACCAACAGAAACAACCTCATCTAACGTTTGAAGAATAGAGGTCTCACATCTAAAAGTAACCAAAAATAAATAAATAAAGGGCATACAAGCTTGTGGTAATCATAACTAAATAAAATAGAGGGCATACAAGCTTGTGGTAATCATAACTAAATAAAATAAGCTATTTTGTTGTTGAAAACACACCCAAAATTCAATCATGATCTAAAAGACGCATTAGCAGTGCGAAACATAGACTATGAAGAAGTGAATGTGGTTTTAGAAAAGGGGCAATATTGATACAGGAAATTAGAGATAAATTATATCAATACAAAACAAAGAGAGATTGTAGCCAACAGAAAATTATACTGAATATCCTCTGGGTCTGGCAAACATAACCAAGAAATCAGATGGAAAATTAAAAAGAAATAGATTCCTATTTTCCCTTACCAAGTTGATTTGGCCAAGATCAACCCCACGACGTAGCATTCTTGCTTTGCGTTTGCCAGCAATTCTTTCTTTACGAAGCCTTTTCTTTTCACCTGCATGGAATACGTCTCAACAATATATAGCAGAAAAAAATCCTCAATACCATCAAACTGTTTTTTTTGTGCCATCAGACTAAGTTTAAAACAAGACTTGCTTTCTTTTTAAGCTTTTCCATACCATAAGCATACTGGAGATTCATGTGTATAAATGACTACTTGCATCTACTTCAATATTTTAAAAACTTCCCACTGGAAAACCATTCAATCAAGCACTAAAATTCATGGTTCCAGAACCACCAAAAGCTTCTCTCATGCTTCCATCATCTAAGCTATATTCAAATTTCAAAAATAAAAGATTTGCAATCCGACATAGTATTCTTGAAACCTTTTTAGCCTAGACAGGAAGCTCACAAATGATGACAACACACATTACCTGACTAGTCATTCCCAATCCCCACTAAATGTTCCAGCCATCCCAAAATAAGAAACTCAACATCACGCAGGTTTTTATTTTTATGCACTAACATGGGTGATTAAACCATCACTTTAATTGGAAAGTATAATATTTCAGATATTTAAAAGGTAATCATGCAAATTCCATGAACTTGACAATTCACCTAAATTACAAATCCAGAAGCTAGATTAACCGAAAAAGGCATTGGATGTTTGAAATAGATGGATGCCGTTGATATTACCATGAATTTTTTTGGAGTATTTACTCTTTTGACCCTGTGAAGGCCATGAATGAGGAAACCTAGCAACATGCTTCTTTCCAAAAGAAATAGTGCTAGACCCTTGAGACCTATAATCAGCAGAACATTTCTTCCATGGATGAGATTTCTTCATGCCATATTCCACGGAAGCTTGCTGAAGGGCCATTCCACCCAACTTCTCCAAAGCTTCATCATAGCAACTGCTAGAAGAACTTCCATCATCTGAAACATCCAAACCCGGTTCTAGCAACCATTTTGCATCTATGATGTGATCACTACCACCAACTCCTTCTAAATAATCTTCAGCAACCTCGTCATCAATGTCTGAATCACTATCAGATGTGTCCTCAGAACTACTGCTATTAGTTGACTTATCTAGTTCTTCTGAATCATAATATTTCGGGCATTCTTCATCCTGAGACTCAGCATTACTATCTTCATCACTTTCATCATCTGAGATGTCCTCAGTATATAATTTAAGACCTCCAATGGAGAGGAAACCAGAATTTCTCACAAAGGGCATCTTAGATGGTGAGCCTTCTGTCATGTGATTGCTTAGCTCACAGTCGATATCCTCATTAGAGTGAATATCCTTCTCAGGGATCAATGAGTCCAAAACTGAAGTTGATTGGGGCTCAGTCTGTTCAGTAGGTGCCCCAATATCACTAGGGGTTTCATCTTTTCCTTCAGAGAACCCCAATCCCCCGTGAGAGCAATCACCTAAAACGAATTCCGCACCATAACTATAAGTATATTCCACATCATTGGCTTTTGAAGGAGGTGTTTGGTCTATATGAGCAACGACATTATTGCGTTTAAAATCCGTCAAATCCAAAGGCTGTAAATGATTTAAGTCAATATCTTCACCGTTGTTCCCAGTGCATGATACCTCCTATCAATATATAATCAAATACATGCAAGTCATTGTGAAGCTACCAGGACATGGCAATCTGAACTATAAGAAAATCACCTTTAACACTTAACTAGAGGCATAAGATAAAATCCATATGTTCAAAAGATCAAGAACATACATAACTTGTAACTCATCCAGTCTAGAATCCATCAAACATCTTCCTCCAGGATAGTTATGCGCATATATAAATAAATAATCACATTCATGTACACACATCACGAGAGTTCAACTTTACTTCCTAGAGATCATTGAACGGAGTAAATCATTTCATCAATCACCAAAGCTTGCCGACTAGAGCAAAAAACAAGCATCTATCTTTCTTGTCACAAGATATGGATTGTGTCACGATTTTGATCAGATGGAGGCCCACCAAATTTTGTTAATCTTTCAAGCGTAACTCGAACAAAAATTATAATTTTCCTTTTTTATTTGAATAATGAATGAAATGTGCATGAAGATAAAAGCTTTTATCCGGCGTAGCATACCTGTAAATCAACCGAAGGATAAATGTATCGAACAGCAGATCCCGAAGGTATCCCATATCTGCTTCTAGACGCAGTGGCCTCTGGTCTATCAACATTTCCAAATTTTGAGCCAGATTTTTTATTTGAGCTAGCATTTTTACCTGCAATTCAAGTGCAACAGAAAAACCAAAACAAAGCATAAAAGAAAAGAAATCGGAAAGGAAGGACGAAAAACGAAAGAAAGATCGAAGAAAGAAAAAAAGAAATACCAGAGAAAGATGAAAGAATGAAAGAAAAAGCCTAGAATCCATTTGCCCCGTTTTGATCAGTAGAAAATGAATAAACGGAAGCCACCGCTACGCCCGTTAAAGTACAGTCCAATAAAGAAAAATCCTTTTCCCAAATGCATTGCACATTACCGCCCCAACTCAAATTTTCATCCTAAAAAAAAAAAACAAGAATAGCCAGATGGAAAGATAAAAAGGACCTGGATTGCGGTTGGAGGGCGACGAAGTTGAATGAAGCTGCCAATCAGATAAAAACCCACCATCGACGAAGAGGTCAGCTTTACCGAACGAGGCCGATCCTCTTCTGTGGTTTCTGTACTTGTTATTGCCCTTGCCGCTGCTATTGGATCTTCCTCTTCTGCTTCCACCCCCCATGTTTGCTTGTGTCTTGGAACTTTGGCTTCGTCTGGTGAAGAATACTGAGGTATATTTCAGGATTCGGCCGTGGTGGTCAAGGCATGTGACGCTGAAGCTAGACGTAAGCCGAACCTGGACCGTTGATTTATGAAGGTTCGCCGGTGGTTCAAGACGAAACGAGGCTTCAGTGGCTGACGTGTACGGCTCCCGACGATGAGGAATAAGTTTTGGGCCCTTGGGCCTTGACCTCTTGGGCGTGATATGGATGACCCAAATACCCATTTCGCCTCCAGAGACCGACCCAAAGGATAATCCGGTCTGATTTTCATTGGGCAGTAGAATATTCCTTAGGCTTTTTTTTGTCATCATCAAATATAAAAAGCGACCTGGTTGCTCACCTACAAATTAATTTTTTTTAACAATTATTAATCTTATTTTTTTATTTTATTCTTTCAAAAAATTTTATAAATAGAATTAAATGTTACATGTAAGGTATAAAAATTTTTTAAATATGATATATTTAATTAGCAAGAGCAAATTAAGAAAAAGTTTAGACAATATCAATATTCAATAATTCAAATATCTACTCTTAATTATAGTTAAGTAATTTAAAAAAATTATATATAAAAGAAAAAATAATAAGAAAATTTTGTCATAATATATAAATGACAATTAGGTCCTTCAAAATGCTTTAATTCATTAGAAGTCTTTAAGTACTTTTCTGACATTAATAATTTTAGATTAATGACCAAGCCCCCTTTTTAAAATTAAAAAAAAGATTTATGTGAGAAGTTATGATTTTTTATTTAATTCTTACAATTCACATAATAAAAATTATAATTATTTAAATAAAAATTGTAATTAGTTATTTTTAAAACTTGAACTTTAATGATAAAAAAAATTTTGTGTAAAAAATTATAATTCTTATTCAATTACTTGAGATTCACAAAATAAAAGCCATAATTGTTTGAACAAAAATTGTCATAGATTATTTTTAAAACTCAAAATTTAATTATAAAAGAAATTTTACATGAAAAGTTATGATTTTTTATTTAATTTTTGTGATTCACAAAATCAAAATCGTAATTATTTAAATAAAAATTATGATTGAGAATGATTATTTTAATAATTTATTTATCAATTATGAAATAAATTTTACATAAAAAGATGTAATTTCTTATTCTATTTTTATTATTTACAGAATAAAAATTGTACTTCAAAAAATAAAATCAAGCTAGTTATTTTATTTTAAAATTGAATATAAAATAATTTAAAAATTTAAAATAAATTATAATATTTTGAAAAATATTGTGATTTATATATTTTATGAAGTTTTATTGCTGTCTTTCCTATGTAAAATTAGTGAAAGTATTTTCTAGTCCCACCTATCCATAGCATTAAATGTGACATTTTTAACATGCATCATGCATAGAGTTGGAAACAAGGGGGTCTGGCCTACATGGACTTGGCCTTTATGGACCTAAGCTTGAAAGCCCAGTTATCCTAATTTCATCCAAAAGTTGAGGCTCGGTCCTTATTCAAAGGGCTCAGGGTCGAGCCCATAAGCTCGTTTACGAAAAAAATAAAAAAAATTTAATATTTTAATTTATTTAGAGTATTTTAAAATTTAAGATATATCAAACCAAAGTATCACATAATTTAAAAAATAAATTCAAGATTTAGAAGTTCAAATAAGATAAAAGACAAAAGTCATCATCAATGCTAATCAAGATCTCCCTCATCATTATCCGCAAATAAAATGTTATTTCTAACTCTGTCACAGGTTTGAGAGTGAGAGAGTGAGAGACTGAGTGCGAGTGTGCTACATAAGGTTTCTTTGGAGGTTAAAAGTCTAACCCCAATTCAGCCATTTTTCAAAGTCTAACATAGAAGGAAAAAAAAAAAGTTAAACAAGTTTAATGGGCTGAGCCTTTTTTTTAGGGCTTAAAAGAGTCGGGTTTCGAAACTCAATTATCATAAAAAATATCAAATTTTTAAGTCCAAATCTTTATTAAAATGGGTTTAAACGAGTGGTCCATCAAGTCTGGGCCTTATTCTCAACTCTAATCGTGCGTGGTTTAAAATCTCGTGAAAAATTAGCCTCTTTTTTAACTTTTCCTTTATTCACAACCAAAACTCACGATTCCTTACTGCACATTAAACAACTCAAGCTAATGAAATTGAATTTCTGATATCGTTGGGTTTTTTTTTGGCCTGTTTTTTTTATATCGAATCGTCACTCTTCCTCCAAAGCAATATATTCTGGTCCTTTGAAATCAACTCCCCTTCGTCCCAAAAAAAAAAAAAATCAACTCTTCCACCTACAAATCACTCTGCCATGTGAGAACCTTGTTGGGCTTAAAGCTGGAAATAATACCAAGCTAAAGGTTTTATTTAAATAAGAATTTAAATTTAAAAATTAATTTTTTTAAAATAATTGGGTTTAAGGGCCTACCTTAATAACCCTTGTGAAAAAGGACTCAAGTTCGGGCGGCCCTTCAAACCTTGATAAGTCAGGTTATCTCATACACACGCACATATATTTGACTAATATGACATAATTTGGTTAATATTTATTATAGGCGATGAAGAAAAATTACAAAGATAATTGACATTAAATCTCTACCTCCATTTCTACCAAGTGGACCTCCATTTGAAATTTTAATATTTTATTTTTAGATGATGATGAAGAGGATTTAGATTTATATTAAGAAAGATTTTAATTTTCATCTTAAATTTTAAATTTTAAATCTTTATGAAATTTCATGTGAGATTTTAATTTATTTTATATTAAATTTAAATTTAAATTAAAATGTTATATTATTTTTTTAAAAGAAGGCTTATGACTCCTGTAAATAAGAACCTGACCCTAAATTGTATAAATAAAGGTTGAAATTTAAAATTATATTAAATTTTAAGTATTCAAACTTGAATCTTTAAAAGTCAGGCTCGCCCTTATTCTCACGTTTAATTGGGCCTTGTATGACCATCTTTCTTTTACTAAATTCTTTGACCCAACTCACGAAAGTTTATTTTATATTTTAATCAAAAACATCAACTCCTTATTAACAAAAAAAAAAAAGAAAAAAAGAAAAGCATCAACTCCTCAACTCGTCTTCAGCTATGGTACCGGTAGAATCCCAACTCCCAAGTTGCAGTTAAAGGCCGTGAGTCACCTACCTTATATCATCTCTGATCACTTCCCTGCCGAACTCGTCTTCCTCTGGTGAGTCGATTTCTGACTCGTTCTTTGCGTTCTGGCGGTTCCGAGATACTTCATTGTTTGACTCATGCTTATTTTGCTGGTGCTGAGACTGAACTTCTACTCTCGAACGATTGTGTGTTTGATTCTGGGAAATGAGTAACCCGTTGGGCCGTTAGGGATTGTTGGGCACTGCTCTTTACTGTGCCTTTAACATTCACAAAAGAAGCATATATGATCGAGGCTTGTACGCTGTATACAGTACCAAATCCCCGTACTAAAATGCCATGCACTAATTTATCTGTTAAATCATTTTCCATGCTAATCATAGCTTACGCCGCTTTCTCGATTTTCCCATCAATGCCCGTTACCTTGTCCAGAGTGTTGAAGTCGACTTTGAGAGTCTTCCCAATTAAATTTCTTGCATTTTCTCCAATCATTCTTTGTTATAGCAGTTCATGAGTTGGTTCGGAACTTTAATCCATATGGCCAACTTGTTCAAAGTGTTTCTCAAGTGATTGAATCCCGGTTTCCACCTACAATTGTAATGCTGTGAGATGACCCGAGGCCCTCCTGTGAGTACTCTATGGTAATAATCCGAGCTTGGGAATCTGACAACATGGTGATTATTCTGTAAGTTAATGAGTTCAAATTCTGGGAGTCCCTACATCTTGGACTGGCGATGTTTCAAATACCTTTTATTTACCTATAATCCCTATATTGTAAAAAATATAGTTTCTTTCTAAGCTTTACAATATTTTTCCCTCTCGTCATCTGTGATTTCTACGTTTCCCTCAACTCTTATGAATTTTTGTTAGCTCAAGATTAATTATTGTTTAGAATTCAGTTTATCTATTACCAAATGTCAATAGGTTCGATTTCAACCATATTAAGGCGTAAATGTTGTTGTGAACATTATTACTCATTTTGATGATTATGTTCAGAGTCTTTACCTTTCTATTGTGTCACCGTTATAGTCGTTGTAGAAGCTTAATTAGAATACATTTCCTAGAGATCTTTCCTTGTGGAGATTGAAGCAGACACAGGAACTAAGTCTCTCACTCTGCTGAAGTTTAAGTGTGATCACTCCATGAAATTTTAAGAAGCTAGATAAGAGACAACCTTGTTTTTTCCTATGGCTTTGTTTTAAACATTTTCAAAGCCTGAACAAGTGGAAATTTCAAATGTTATTTTACCCTTTATGCACAATGATCAATCATTGTTTTCTTTGGTACACAAATTGTCGTTGGCACTTTCTTTTAATTTCTATGTTAACGCTCTCGTCCAATAACTTTATCGATTAAGCCACAGTCAACTTTCCTAGTGTTCTCATTTTGCCACATAGGTTATGTTTGACCCGCATAACTTGTAAATTCTTTTTGCTAATTTCCGTGTTCCTTTATAGAGGGTTTTTGAGTCTGATTTTGTGGCAAGGAGGTCTGTTGTCAAAGAGCGCTTCTCAAAGAATTACAGGCATCCAATTTGGATTCTAAACTTACTCTCAAGTGCTTGATTGTGGTGAGATTCATGATGAAGTTTCATTTTGCTGGTTAAGTTAGTTTGTTTAGCAATATTTTATTCATTGTATGAAATGTTATCTTCCACCAATCAATTGTTGGAACAGGAGGCCAGTTGCATGACTAAGGCAAGAAGGCTTGGGGTTTGTACTCCAGTGCTCTATGCTGTGGATCCTGTGTTGCACACATTAACATTTGAATTTGTCATGGGACCTTCAGTGAAAAATATATCTCTTGGATTTGGGTTACATGGTCTCAATGAAGAGCTGTTGGATCATATTGCATTGGAAATTGGTGGTGCAGTTGGAAAAATACATGATGGTGGCCTAATTCATGGTGATTTGACGACCTCTAATATGTTGTTGAAGAATGGTCTCAATCAATTGGTGAGTTCATTTTCTGTTCATATCTTCTAA